TGTTGTTAGAGTGACTAAACAAGCAATATATTCCAGGGCATGCTGGGACTACAGGAGGGAAGAGCCCATCTGTTAGGTTTGTTCCTTTCTATCCAGTGAACCCAGTACCTCTCACAGGTCTTGATATATGTGCTCCGTGTTTACTTGTTAATTGAAACAAATAAATGCCCTTGCTGTCAATGTTGCATTTTAAAGACTTAAGTTTTCTTCATTCAGACTCTCCTTTCCAACATTTTGTTTCACACTTTAGAGCTGAGAAATTTCTATTCCTGTGTATTCTTGAAGTCCATACACCTACAGCTTCCACAGTTTAGCATTCTTCCACCTTTATCCTGGACATTTATGATATGTTACACAGCCGAGCTACAGTATCTCCATTAACTATGTTGAGTGACTATTTCTCAAATAACAATTTCCTAAAGGCTGAAGATTTATTTTTCTCTCAAATTATTTGTTCCCACTTGCTTTGCTACTATAAATTCAAATTCTTTATGTAGTGGATTCTCAATAGATAATTTCTCAGTGGCAAAAACACTCTTCCCTTATTCTTGTCTTATCCACAGATCCAGCACAGGGCCAGGCACATATAGATGCCCAATAAATGTAATAAATGTTAATAAAAAATACCTTTATCGGGAGAACATTTCTTGCAAAGAAAACTTCCTATGGTTATTGGATAATTCAGGTTTAACTGCTTTTAATCTCTAAAAAGTCTACAAGGTAGTTGGGAAGGATCTTTTGGTCTCTGACATAAAAAGAGGGATGGTAGAAAGAAAAAAGAGAGAAAACTAAAGATTATAATGAAATCATACCCAGTGTACATCAGTTTCCCTTTCTCTGGTTAATTTCAGAGACAATCCCATAAACTAAGATATTGCTTTTCCCCACCATCCTGGGAGGGAGCTTCCTTTTATTATGTAGGGATTTAAAATTATTAATCTAAAGTCCCTAGGAAATTAGATTTTTCAACTAAGAATACAATGTCTTTCTCTCCACATCACTGGGGGTCTGGAGACAATTAACCATGCCATGGACCTTGGGGAATGTAGCTACTCCATATTCTTCCTTTGCGCATCGAATGGTTGCAAACATAACATTTCTCCTTAACAAAGGACATCTTGCCCCTTGTGCTGAATCTGTACTGGTTTTTTCCCCCAACTCTGAGCTCTAAAGGCTCAATTAAGCATCCACAAAATCAAGTTGTGTTCTTTCCCTTTAGTACCTTATTACGAACAATAAAGAGTTGAAGAATTGGAGTGCCAGTTGGCAATTTTACTATGATATATGAAGAAGCAGAATGCAGACTTGCTTTTCATCATTTAGAGGACTTCTAAGTTATTGACAGGAGTAGACATTTTTCAACTGGAACATAGAAATAGGATAGTCCCATCCTATGCTCAGTTTACCCAAAATATCAACCCCTTTAACATTCAAGGTCTCTGCAGGTAACCCACAGGTAGCTAGCAGTGCTAACGACAAGAAGTGGTGCTTTTCCATTACAGAAACTATAACCACCTTTCAACATGATTGGCGACTGTCGCTGTAGGGCGTTAAGTATGCAGCATTAACAGCAATCGTTTTTACAGATTTACTAATTGGCAAGAAACAATTTTTTACCAGTCCTGGCATGGGTATTTTTGCATTTTGGGTTCTTGTAAGAAGGTTTTTGTGCTTTTTCTCAAGGCAGATCCAATCTTGGTAGTAGCTTCTGTTCTTGAGCCTGTGATCAGGGTGGGGAAGGACAACCCCAGTGCTTTCATCTCTATAGACCAGGAGGCAGAGTCTGTGGTCTGTGCCTAGGCTGCATCCAGAGAGCAGACAGTTATGACTGGCTCGCACAACATTTAAAATGATCTGAGCTACGTGCCAAAAATTTAAAATGAGAATTTCATGTAAGAAGAACTCGGAATTCTGGCCCTTCTTAAAAGAAGTTGAAGTTTTGGCCACACTGGGCCTGATTTCCTGCATGGCAATCCAGGGTGGCCCCTAGAATGTACCATCTCTTTTTGGGAATTAGAAAAAGGCATCACCTCTTGGTGGATGAATTACAAGGATGCCTCATCAGGCAGGACACAGTCCATGTATAACGGATTTGGCACAATTGCTGCCATCTCCTTGAATCATTTTATTCAGGTGTGCGCCCTTTAGGCGTCTGAGTTTGTGATCACGGCCAAAGACAGTTGTATGATTTTGTGGGAATTATAGGCAGAGGCTAGTTCTCCCTATCCTCAAGTTTCACCCTGCTTCCTGAACCTTCATAATGTCCCCACTTCCCCCGCCCCCCAATACTGATTTTCCATTTGCTTGTTTTTTTCAGCCTATGAGAGAATGTGTCCAGGCAGAATATAGCGATTACTCTAGTATGATATGGCTCCTTTAGCTTAAAAAGTTTGAGGCAGACTTCTTGTGCCATCTTTGAATTAGCCGATTTCAGTATTCTCTGTTGACAGCTTGTCCTTATTAAACTATGCCCCAAAGTGAATCCTGCAGCTACTGACAGTGGGCGATACCAAGGAACCCCTCCATGGCCCCAGCAGACCTGAATAATAGTGTCTCTGTGGCTCCCCAAGAACCATGAGCTGCTTTTTCTTAGCGTTCATATGACAATCATCAAAACCATTTACACAGAGCAGCTGTATGTGATGCTGTATAAGGGGTGATAAAATGAAGTTAATTCCATACCATGGAACAACTTCTAAAGTGATTCATCATTAAACACAGTTGGGTGATATAATTGGGAGTGTGCTTTGGCAGGGGCTTGGATTTCAGGCTAGGATCAAGCACTGACTCTGACACTCAATAGTTATGTGAACTTGGGCAAGTCTTTTAACTCTGTAACCTTCAAAAGAAAAACAGTTAAATTATAACACTACGAGTGAGAACTTAGAGTGGTTAAGAGCTCTGGAATTTCCTCCACCTGCCCTTACTGCCCTCCCCACTCCCCCACCAGCATCTTACTAGTTGGAGTAACTTAACTTCAAAAGTTTCAGGTACAAAAACAGTACCTTCCTGATAGGATGTGTCTGATTAAATGAGATAGTGTTTGTGTCTAGAGTGTGGTAGGTACACAGCACCTGCCCACTGGAGTGCCCAGCCTGGTGTAAAGTAAGCTATTAGAAATGTTGGTTTCCTTGCCCCATGCTTGTGTCTTACTGATTTGGGCACAAAGAATTTTAGCAAATGGGAGGGACGAATGGTTGCATTGCTCAGTAAATATTTAATGAATTGATTTTATAGCAGAAAGTCTTTAAATGTATGAATATCAAGCTGTTTTGCTAAATGTGTGGCTTCTTTGTTGGGGCAGTTTATGTGGAAAGCTAAAAATAATTTCAGTGTTGCAAATACTGCAGGACAATCCAATGGTTAAAACAAAAAAAATAAGAAGAATGTATTTTTAATAATGGGAGATACAGCCTGTTCCCTTTAGGAATGAGTTCCTGGCTGCAGAAGTCTTTATCTCAACACCCAAAACAGGCAGAATACAAAGGTCACAATGCCAATTTCATTTGAAACTTGTTTTTCAGTGTCAGAGCCCTGGTTTTTAGGAGAAGACTGGTGGTTGCTATGGAACTGTTAATAATGATTGCTGCCTGCACCTCCATTCCTTATACTCTCAATCTCCAATATAAAATCACTTAGACTTGGGCTGTAGGGCAGTAAACAAACTTTTGGGCAAGAATTAACTGAGCTTGGGCATTAGTGTCTTAATGTAGGAAATGACTTTCAATATAACCTTTACTAACACTAGCAGCATGGCTATGTCCAAGGAGCTCCCAGCTTCTTGATAGTGGACCGAAATGCATCAGGTTCAAAGCTTGATCTTCTGCATGAGCAGTAGTACTAAAAGCAGGAACGTTTTGGGCTTTCACCATACAATAAATGTGAAAAATCTTTATTTTGTGTAGAAATGGCCTTAGTGTGAGTCTTTTATTTTCATGTAGAGAAAGAAATTCAGCCATATACTAGATTCCTAAGTGGAAGGAGGGAAATACTCCTGTTGAAATATATATGTCTATATATTTTAAAAAATAAAATCTGGTAGAAAAGTGACATCGTTGCTATATTTCTGTGAGATTTGTGATCCATGTAATAGACGCTTCTGACTCCTGAATTATATTTCTAAGATATAGATCTCAGTGCTTATTAATGTATAACCAATCGTTGGGGGGAAACTAATCCAGTCCTTGAGCTCCAGGCACATAAAGTTACAAATGGGTTATTGGATGGGTGGAGAGAAGATATATTTAATTTGGGGACTTTGAATCCTCACCAGAATGCAAATAATTCAACAATAATACAGAATAAATAGCTTCCATTTTCACAATTGCTCCTCTCTGTAATCCCTGCAGTATGTGTTTTCTAACAATTATGTGGCCTAATTCTCTGTTTTATTGCTGAGGATTTTAATGCTTTGAATGTGGAACATAGAATAAATGTTTGCCTGTAAAATCTATAAAGATGCCTGAATGTAGGTTTTCACTACATGACATAAGCATTTTTGAAAAGGAAATGTAAACTTGACATTAGCTACGTGTCCTCCAACTCCTTAGAGGCAAGAAGTGATAGCAACTTCGTAAAGGTTAAACAGGCATGCTTAGGGCCCTGAGTGAAATTAAGTCTTCTACCAAGTGTATGACACTGCAGAAGACAAGGTTTATCTGTTTGAATAAACTGAATGTACAGTTCAATACATTCATGTTTGCAAGGCTACTTAAGGTATTATAAGGTCTAGTACCAAACAATAAAAATGCAGATGGAACTATCAAATTCATCAAGATGCTGCAATAAATTCAGATGCTCTCTAGAGCTGGCAAGGTGATGTCAAGAAAGTTAAACTTGAAGAATGAGACTTGGATTTCTAAATGAGATCAGGGAAAAGAGAAAGCAGACTTAATAGGGGAAATCAAGACTGAAACAATCAACATTACAGCTACATTTGGAGGGGAGTTTAAAAATCAATCCTTTCTGCTTGTTCTAAAATTGTTCTGCCAAAAAACTGACATTGTTATATACTTTTTTATTTTGGTTTATTTAGTCTTCTTTAACATAGCCATTGTTAGTTCAACAATCAAATACTGGGGTACATTATTGGAAAATAAGGACATAGCTATACAGGTTATATCATCAATACATTTGTTAATTTTATCCTTTTTATAAGACAAAGCAGTTTGTTAATACTGTCTTGGATTACCTATATTTGTAAGATTACTTATAGTGAGTGGTACGTAGTAAGATAGGGAATTATCTCCCTGCTGTCTGTCTTCAAACTAGAGTTTAATAGTTTTTTCAAAACATTAGCATTCCATAATTAAAAATACACAAAGCAATATTTTAGTATAAAGTTAGGCAGTGGCAAAATTACCCTGTCTAAATAAATGTGCACATATACATAAACACTAGCATGCTTTAAGAAATTAAGAAACATTAACATTTTGTGAAATTAATATATAAATAAAATATAACCTGGAATGAAATTACCATTATGTACAAAAAAAGGAAAAACAGAAGCCTACCCTTCCCAAATCTGTTGATTTTAACGTATTATAAAGTTACATGACATTTGGAATGTAGGGGTTATTTCAAGTTCGAAAAACATTACATTAAAGAATAGTGTGATCCAACTTCCTGGAAAAGGCAATATGTATTAATTAATTTCTAAGATAAATTTATGTTCATGCCAATGTTAAAGAGACAACATCCTTTTGAACTTCCTTAGAGAAATATTTGTAATTTCTTTTATTAAGAAAAAAATGCAGCTTTAACACAATAAAATGCTTTTTTGTATTATTTGCAAATGTTAGGAAAAATATATTATTCCAGGATATAGGAACATACTTAGCATTGTTATATAAAGAGTTACATACTTGAACTTGTAAATATTCTACTCTTAAGCACATACTTTTCCTCTCTGTCTTCATTCTCTCTAGCATTCTTTGTTTCTTGTTTCTCTTATTTTCCAACATATCCTTCTTAGTTTTTTTTTTCTAATAGTCCTGACTTTTCTGCATATCTTATTTCATTAGCTTAATATTATAACCTTACATTTTTTACTTCATTTTCAATAAAACAAGGGTTTCTATTAAGTGAATGGCCAACTGAACTTTCTCTTCTCCCTTTTAAACAAAGCTTTCTTCTTAAAATATAAAGTAGTTACACCTTTAGCTTAAATACATATGTATATTACATATCACACTTTAAAAATAATAATTAGGTTCACAGAGTTCTGAGAAAATCCAATATATTACTGGTACACTATTCTGCAATCTTATGGAATGACAAAAAAGTGAATCACATTTCATGATTAGTATCTTAAGTAGTATCTGACTAAGCCTAATTGACCAGTGTTTTTCAACTGCTCCATTTCCTCTTCTGGACAATCTTAGAGAAATTCTACTGACATATTGATAGAACCTAAGAGCAAATTAGACGTGGAACCACGGACAGGTTGCTTTCATAGTAAATCTTGGTCACATGTGTGCTGTTGCTATGTTGTAAATGATTACCGCCTGGACAGTAACTCAGTAGTGAGTGGGTGGTGCTGGAGTTGTGCAGGAGTTTGCTCTGGGCTCTGGTACCCGACCTCACTGAAGGCACAGGCCAGGCACAGCTGACTGTCGCCGTTCAGGCCGTCTGGTCCACTTGGAGCACAGCCGGCTGCACCTGCCCTTCCTCCGACTGCTCTGCCTCCTGCGAGGTTAGCACCGAGCCTCCCTCATAGCGCACCTTTTGGGCCTGTTCCAGGACCACCGGCTCCTCTCCTTCATCTTCCACGATAGTCAAGTCCACGTTGCTGTCTCTGCCAGAGTTACTCCCTCTGGAGGCCGCCCTTCCGGCATCACCCTCTGCTCCCTTCCCTTCCACCACGGCACCAGGGAGGGAGGCTTCGGAAAGACCCTCCGCAAACGAGCTTTCCTCGTGGTCGTTCGGCATCTGGTCATTGTCTTCTGACTTGGTCTCATTTTCTGCTGCGCTTTCTCCCTCTCGGACTTTCTTTCGACCGAAAGTTAAGGGAGAGACCTTGAAGGGGGAGCTTTTCCCTGAGGATATTTTCTGGTGATTGGAAGTGAGAGATTTCTTAATCTTCTCCCTCCTTTCTACAGATACAATCTTTGTCCCCAGCTGGTTCATCCTTTTCTCGATGTTCTGGCGAGAAAATGCTTTCTTGAGGCTATCCACTTTCCGGAGGCTGGATCTTTTTATTTTCTCTGCCCTACTTTCTTCCATCTTTTCCTCGGCACTGTCTTCCAGGACATCTTCCTCGTGAGGCAATTCGTCATCCGATGAGAGGTCTACCGTGTGCAAAGTTTCCTCCAGGGACTTGTTTTCATCAAGTTCTTCCTTCTCTTCCGCTGGGCTGGAAACTGGCTCTTTTGCAAACACACTGGCAGGGATCTCATTTTCTTCCTGAAAAGACGGACAATGTAGATTTCAGGTGAATAACACATTTCACAAATAGTCCTGAACTGCTGTAATTTGTGTATATGTGTTTGCTGGCATGATGGAAACCAAACGTTTGTGGCTTCAGTTTTCTAGAACATGAAGAGTTAATTCTAAATTGGTCAAGGCATTTCCCCTAGGCTGGATAAGGCCAAGAACTGCCTATTGGGAAGATTATGAGGGTTATCTGGCAAGGGCTCTATCAGTGACAGGCAGAGGGGGAAGTGGGCTGTGGCTCAGATAGACCAGAAAGCTGCCTAGATAAAGCAGTTAAAGTAAGTTACTGTGAGCCCTCTCTCCTACCCAGCTCTGCTCTTGCCAAAATCTCACTGGAAAAGAGCCAAGAGGTCTAGTTGGAAGTTAAAAGGTGGGGGCAGGAAGAGAGCCGGGAAGTCCTCAAGTGTCAGACACCGTGTTATGCCTTGATCAGGTTCCCTCCCCAACTACAAGTCAGAAGTGAAGGTACGGTCAACCTTGGTATCTGTTCAAAAGTACACACTAATTTTCCTGATGACATAATTTTAGAGTAAGAGAAGCACAGGCCAGCCTTACTGGGGACCCACTCACAGATCCTTGTGGTTTAGATATTCTTTGTGGGCAATATTAAGACGAGGCAGCATACTATGGCCACTTCTAGAGTGGTAAAGGGGAATTAGGCTGCCAAGTGTGGCTTATCAAGCCTCTATTGTTAAACAGGGTTTCCTGGAGCAAGAATATTTTGGCCTCTACCTACAGCTAAGAGGGAGGAGAGAGGCTCAGGAAACCTCACCCCCACCCTACCCCAGCCACTATTCCCAGCACACCTCTTTCTCTAGCTTCCAGGCACACAGGCAAATATCTGCCCCTTGCCATGCCTCAGGGAGCAGAGCCGGAGAACTTGCCTCCAGAACGCAAGCAAGGAAGATGGTTTTCCAGCGCTGCTAAGTGGGGAGACTTGAATCTAGACAGACTTGGGTCACACAGCATAGGATCCTTCTGACTTCTATATGTTTCTTTGAATATTAGAAAATAAGAGCCAGCCAGCAAGGCACCTTCACATTTTCATTGAAAGAAACACAGCAGAAAGCATGTGTGACAGGAGGCCTGAGTCCCAGTCCTCGCTGTAATGCTAAACGGCTGTGTGGCTGTCAGCAAATAACTTAATCTCCTTGGGTCTCAGTTTCTTCCAAATATGAACAAGAGGATTGACCTAGATTAGCAGCTTTCAAACTGCACTCCCAGGGACACTAGGGGTTCTACAAGAAGGCTGAGGTTGGCCCGCCTCCAGGACCCATGCACCCTGGCTTCAGGCAAAGCTGCGATGTTACTTGATGACACTGTGGATGGCCCAGTAAGCTTTCAGCTTGAAAAATAACTATTGGGTTGTTGGAAAAGTCATGACACATTTTTGCAATGAAAAACATAAAAAAAATACATCATGACTTTTCCGACAACCCAATAGATCTAGTTCATTGAAAACTCTATTTGGAATCTAACCTTCATGCAAAGTTTATGTTAACAGTAAGAATTTCCCTCCTCATTTTGCAATTTTGATGGAAATATTAGGGTTATGGTCAAAAACATGCTCCAAGAGTGAGCCTACATGTATTTTTTAACTTCTTGTTACAAAACCTAAATGGACAAAGTTTTGATATAGAGAAACTTAAAAAAATTCCTCTCCTTGTAACCACTGAATGATACTCTCTGAAAAGACACTGCCCCTTGTCGCCCCCTTATACACACACATACTAGGGCCCTTTCCAATAGAGTCCTTAGTAGAGCGAAGAAATCACAGATTCTGTTTTCCAAAGCTCTCTCCACACCGTCCCGTTTGCAGTGTCAAAAAAAGTGTTAGGAACACAGTATAAAAGACAAAGTGAAAAACCGAAAGGAGAATGGGATTCCCATGAGTCACATACGACATGGACTTTTACAGACAGCAGCTTTCCCATGTTTCAAATCTCTACTTGCCTCTATTTCATTGGCACGTACTCCCCATGAAGGTGGGCATTTTTGTCTCTCGGTCACTGTTAAGCCCCAGTGACTAGAATAGTTCCTGGCAGCTCAACAGCTCTTTGTCGAATGGTGCATGTTGGGTAAGGTGGCGTTCTAATACAGTCCTGAGGGTGGCTGGAGTGGTGACTGTCCCTCTGTTAACTGGGCTTGAAGATGAAAAAAAGAATGGGTTTCACTCTGTGCCTACAAGGAAGTTTGATGATTGTTGCTGTCACTGGGAAATGAGGAGAACCTAAGGCCTAAGGGGTACAGTGGTTTCCATTTTTAAGGAAGGATTTTGTTCTCCGTGGATGAGCATGGCTGAAAGAGGGGCAGACTGCAGGAATAGCAAGGGCTTTGATGCTTAGCCCAAAAGCAAAATTACTTCTGGGGTTTGACAAGAGGCCTGGGAAAGTTTGACAAGAGGCCTGGGAAAGTTTGACAGGAGTTGCTCGCCGGAAAGGAAGAAACCAAGAGCTCAGTGAAATATAATTACAAGTCCTCAGTGAAGAAGGCAAAATTCAGGTGGAAAACTGTAAAAATAAGTCTTGGTTACCAGAGAAGAGGTACATTCATATAGTATAATCTCTCAGGGTAATCGAAGGATTACTCTGATAACTTTCCTTTCTTCAACCTCAACAAAAGGGAGGCATATTAACAGTACTTCTGAAAGAATTAAACTAACGATATTGCATCTTTTCTTAATTGTAAATTTATTATTAAGAAAGCATAGTTACTGTTGAATCTTAGACTTGTCTCTCTCTTCATGTGTCCTTTGAGGATGGTTTGAGAAAAGTGCGTGATTGAGTGAATCAGAAGTGATCTGTGGTAGATACACACTGCGTATAATGAGGGCAGTTGAGGGATGGTGGGGGACCCAATTGAACTCTTTTGTACAATGCCAGGGAAATTTATACAAGTGCTCTTTGATGCCAGCTATGAAAATCAACCCAGCAGGAACAGACATAATCCAGAATGAGTTGGATGTGTCTTTATGCCACTGGAAACAAGTGAGATATGTCTTCTTGGCTAACTGCTATGCTTCTGCTGTCATTTTAATTACTCAAGCAGTATTTTGTCTTCTGTCTAATGGACAGTCTTTGTTTTGTGGCTTCTTATGGCATCCACTCTGAAAGTGAGCCCTTTCCTTTCACACAGGATTTTGTGAATGTCCAAGCACATGTAGGTCTTACTTTTTCAGCATGTTTGTTTAGAAGCAGGAAACTGACTCTCTTTAAAATCTCTATTCTTTAGCAAAATGTATGCATGGCATTTGACTATGAAGTGACTATTACGATGGTGGAAATTCAACCTGAACTTCAGACAGTGGATCCTCTTCTGTAGGTACTGTCCCTCAGGTGCCCAGTCTCACCTGCACATGTTTCTCTTGCTCAGGACACACACACCTCAAGGAAATACTTGATATTTCACCTTCCTATAGGTAGGTGACACTTCGGCCTTCAGCCTACTGTTATCATGTTTTTGATCTGCTTTCTATTCTGATTTCAAGATTGATAGTTCTTTGATGGGGGAGGATCAAATATACATCTTCAATTCTGTCACTTCTTATTTATACTACCCATATATCTACTAGGTGTTGTGACACCTTGACATGGCTTTAAGAATCCTTTGTGGGTTGCCTTGCTTCCTTGGGTAGTTCAACCCAGTGGAGGCCCCAAGCTCTAGCTGACTATTTGCCATGCAGATTTATTTTCAAAAAGGTACTCAGGCTCCACTGATGCAGCTGTTCCTGGTTCTGACCTTTCACAAAGACCCTTGGGAATTTTTCAGAGAAAGAGAGGATTAAACTACACACTTCAAACATACATGAATGATATGCTTGCAGCATAAAAGAGAAAAAGAATGGTAAGAACTCTTGAGAAGTGGCATTTTTACTTACACTTGAGCTTGTTTGCTGTTTATATGAATCGTTGTGCATTAATAATCCTAATTGTGCATGTATAATAGATATCAACACAGAGAAACTTGCCAACATGTTGGACACTTCTTGGGTTGGAGCTCATGGAAGTAAATCGTCTTTGCATATATATACCAGGGGTGACAAAAAAATGTATACAAGCAGGCACTTTGGTCAACGTTGCTCAAGTAGTAGTTCGCCATAATCAGAAGTGTCTGGACGCTGAAAGTAACCACTTGGATCATCTCTTGTAATTGCAGAAGTCAAATGTGACGTGTACCCCTCTTTTGTTATTGGAATATATTGAGTATTGCAATTTTAATACAATTTTTTTCTTTCTTAAAATGTATATACAGTCTTTTGGCACCCTTGTGTTTGTGTTTTTTTTTTTTTAAGAAAAGGAGATTCTATAACTAGCATTGGAAGAGGAAGCCTACAGTAAGTCATTTAAAAGCTTGAATAAGGAAAGACAAGCCAGTAATTTGCTCTTTTGTCACTAATTTATCATCCCTGTTGTTAGAAGAAAATAACAATGACTGTCATATTCCCACAGGGATGTGGTGGCATCCTGGAGGGATATGAGGACCATAAATTTGTGTCCATGAAATGTTTTAGCCAATAATCTCTAAATACTAGTTATTAAAATGGAACTGTGCCCACCTGACATCCTGATTTATAGGTCTCTTTTACACATTGATGGTTTTCTCCGATTTGTGTTTCTGAGGTATAGATTGTCAAGTGGATAAAGCCATTGATTAGAACTGCACCCCTAAGGCAGCTGTTGGTGGAATCGGCAAGTCATAAGACTAAAATGCATTAGTTATAATCCCTGAGCAGTCTTTTACATTCTGGAGGATTTAAAAGTTTCATTATTTTTCAGTGTTATCAAGGGTTTAATTCTTTTTTAAGATCACACTGGTTAGGTGTTCTTTGTTACACACACAAAAACACAAAAACAAAACAAAAAGCAAATCACAATGAATTATTTAAAAACTGATGTAGAAAACCCAGTAAACATGAACTTTGCCATAACGAGATTATAGTGTTTATTTTTACTCATTTCACAATGCAGCTCTATAATTTGTATTGTTAATAAAATGAAACCTTGTTATGCATTTTATTTCTCAGGGCCTCTTCTTTGATATCAAATGAGGTTAACTAAATGATTGTTAAGGTGCTTTCCAGCTCTAAAATATTTGATTCTGTGATATTAACCTAAATCCCATGAAAAAGAATTAACAAACTGCAGAAGCGATCTCAACAGTATTCTTGCTAATGCCAAACATGTTTTTGTTTCACGCAAGAATCAAAACTATAGGACCTGAACTGCACTGGAGAACATTTTTCATTCAATTCAAACAAATAGAGATTAAAAAAACAACAGAAGGGGCAATATTTACTTGGAAGGGCTGTATCTGAGAAAGAGTTTCATTTTTTAATATACGAGAGAAAGGAATGATTCTTTTGAAGAAATACCAGCAATAATCAGTTATTCACTTAAAGTGCCTGAGGGAGTACTGATATTCAGTAAGTGTAAATAATAACAATAAGAACCAGTATTCTGTTTAGCTCATAAAGTATAAGGGCACTGGATAAGTAGCATATCAAAACCAATATCCCATTATGGAAACATTAATTGACGTGCTATAAACATCGAGAGTTGTCATGTAAAGGTGTCTTTGATTATCTATATCCCATTTCTTCTAAATCTGTACTAATTTAGCAGTTTTCAGAGCAGTGGCATTGGATAGAGAAAGTACAGACTTGGTAAAAAAAAATCAATTTAAAAATAGTCTGAAGATGTTACACTTATAGCACCTTTCTAACGTTGTGATCTCATCAAAGGGGTCCAAATGATGAATATTTGAACGCATTTATAGGCTTGATTCTCCATGAATGTATCCATGGCAAATATCTAACCTTTACTCTTTTTACCCAATTTCACAATTTTATGTGGATGAAAGTGTACGCTGTCCATGAGTACTCTCATTTTCTTCTCTGGATTTGAAATCATTCCCACACTGCTTTTTCACATAATCATTACCAGAACCTTAAGAGGACGTAAGTGGGCATCACACCCTCAGGCAGGGTCAGACACCTGTGAAATTCTAGTCTCTTCAATCAACAGAGAAAATTTCCTCTTACCTGTAAATTCAATGATTTTTGATAAGAATGCTATTTTTAGTAAAAGATAAGTTTTTACAGGCAAAGAATTAGTCTTTAGCATTTGCGTTTTAATCAGCAACCCCTCTGAGTCTTATTTCATTTATACTGGGTCCTGTCACAGTATTTTGAATTCGAACATTGACCTTAAGCTATTATAAAAAAAAGAAAAATGTAAAAAGGAAAGCTGCTAAGCTTAACAAGGATTTTACAATTTATTTTAGTACTCAAAGGGAGAGGAATTTTCTCCAGTTTAGATACTACTGGTTATAATTTGAAGTAATTGCTAAGGCATGAGAGGCTTAGCAGGTATAATACAACAATGTTGTTAAGTGCAGCACGGATTTAAGTAAATAAATAACATGTTTTAAATAGGGCAAATTAAGGACAAAGGTTGGGATTTTAAAAAATGCAAAAGTGTTAAGTACCTAGTAGACAATCCCACCCACCAACCAAAAAGCACCTGCAGGTTTGGGGGACACAACAGGACTTTATAAGCTAGAGACTCAATCTTCTAAACACCATAGTACTACATACGCTCAAGCCAGGTGACGGATTTTCTTTCCTCAATGTCTTAATTCACATTAATGTTTTGTCTTAGACTAGAAAACCCATGGGTTTACTAAGAGAAAGGCCAGCATAGTGTTCAAGTGAACTGAAAATGACAAAAATAACTTGAAGATGTAAAGTGGTATCTGGTACAATATCTGCCCTCCTCACTCTGCAGGTCTAGGAAATATCTACCCTCTGCCACACTGTAAAGATTGAGAAGCATCTATTTAGGGAAGACTTTTTGGGCAGAGTGCTTTGCTTTCATGGAACAGTGGTGACATGATACTAGTTTCAACATGGTAGTTGTCATATAATGTACGGCAGGGTGTGTGAGCGTGAACGTGAGTGTGTGTGTGTGTGTGTGTGTGTGTGTGTGTGTGTAACTTTTAATAAGTTCCAACTGAAAAAGCATAAACATAGCTGTTTTAAGATCCTAGGTAGGGTGGGGTCAGTTTTTACCCAAGAGATATATTTCTAACCAGGCAAGAGTGGCTCCTCTCCATGCAAATGCATCTCAGATCCACCCAGGAGAAGCTTCTATTCCTTGAGTTCTTATACCATGCCAATCACTAACCATTTTAAATATGCTATTCCATTTATTCCTCACCCTAGGAGAGAGATAAGAGGGAGGAAGCATTAATGTTTACGAGCACACACTTAGAATAAATTAAACATGAGTTCCAACCCCAGCTTCAATGCTTGCTTACTATATAACTTCAGACAAGGTACAAACATCTCAACATCCTCATCTGGAAACTGGGGAAAAAGCACAGTAAGATGCTTAGCAGGGTATGCAGGGCTTATTAACAGCTCAAAAGATTTTTGCTTTTATTAATATCTTCAGTGTACAGATGAGGAAACAGAAGCTTGGAGAAGCTACAAAACGTGCACACAGTTGGCAAGTGTTGAAGCTAGGATTTTAAGCACTGTTTTATGACAAAATTTATCTTCTCAACTCCTATACTGGATGACTCACTAACACAAGTTATTATTTTATCCGTTGGTATAATTACGACCCTAGAAACCTCTACCTTAGGAAGAATCAAGAGAAAGAGCAACTTTTCCACTGAGGAACTGCACTTGTCTTTGTTTTTTCAAAATAATCATCATGCAATGACTTGAGAGTTGAGATTTCTAATATCCTTCAGGCTAATAAAGGATCTTACATGGCTTAAGAAAGGTCCAGTTCCTTGTTTCCTAAAGCTGCTCTTTTTAAAAATAAGTGTCTGCAGGGGGCTGCCTGCGAAGAGGCCCAGAATGGAGCCTGAACACATTGCTTTGGATTCTCTTAACTTCCACCTTGGTCTTGAGCACCCATTTCACCTTTTACTCACTATAAGGGGAATTTCTACCATTTCTGGCTGCAATTTCACGCCTGTCAATCCAAGGTGACAAAACAGGAGAGCACACGGTGGCAGGGCTTCAGCAGCAGCATGTGTCTTTAAGTTCCCCAACAATTGTTTTTTTTTTTTTAAATGTCAGATTTATAATTCTCTTGAATTTTTAGTCACGCATCTTCTCCATCCCTTCCCCCAACATCTACAGAACACCCGTGGCAAAACAAAACAAGAACCGAGCCTGACAAATGGTGATTTTCCTTTACTAGATAAATACTTGTTTTTTTCCTCCTTAACTGAGGACTTGGACAAGAGATAATCTTGATTCATACTGGAAGGAGGGAAATTTCCTTTGATGACAGATTTAAACGGGTCTGTACATGTGTAGTTTTGTTTGGAAATCAGTATTTAATTTAGAAATGCCTTGAGAGCTAAGATTTCTGATGTCTTTTAGGCAAATAAAGTAAGGATCTTATATGGCTTAAGAAAGGCACAGTTAACGTATCTCTTCAGTTCATCTGGTGCATGAAAAGCTATTCTATTTGCATTAGAAGCTAAAAAAATTTCCGGGCTGCAAAAGCCTGCACGGTATAGGAGGACATCAGCTGCCTGAAGCTTTACAACATCGAGTGCAATTTGGGGAGGACACAAAAGCAGCCAGATGAGTCTTTCCTTTTATGGGGGGAAGGAGGCTTAGGTTCTAACTTGGCAGAGAGGATTCATTTAGAAAAAGAAGGGTCCCTTGGTTTACATCCCAATTTCTAAATCTCTCTTGGGAGATGAAGGCTCTTCTTGTGTGCCTTTCACAGTCAAACAGTTGGTTATAGCCTCTCCCCTCCATGGCTTTGAAATCCTCTCCTATTCACATGGTCACAACAAGACAGCCCTGGGGCAGGGATGGCAATTGCTTTCTCGGCTCTGTGCTGGCTGGGTTCCTCTGGGCGGAAGGGCTTCCAGCATTAGGCAGGGCTGCCCTTGGATTCACAAATGCCCACAACTTGTCGGAACAACAGCCCCGCAATCTCCCTGTCCCCAAATAGCCTCTTGCTGCATTAATTGCATCATTGAGGCATTTTAAAAAAATTAAGTGGCCTTTTTACTCTAAGGCAACCTTTTGAAGCAGAAAATATTCAATACTTGCCTTTGTAACTATAACTGATAACACTGCTTTTATTTTACTTTGCACTTGTGGTCTCTGTGAGCAATGAGAAGCATATCTAGTGTGTTTGTAAAGAGTTATGCCTATATTTTTAGTGCATCATTTGCTAGAAAAGAACTCAACATTGCTTTGGCCAAAAGAGTCTTAAAAGGAACAGGCTAGTTCAACTCTAATGGAATCAGTCTCTCATATTTGGCTAGCCCCCAAAACATTGATAGCCTTTGGACAAAGGGATACTTTAAACAGCTATGAGTTTAAATTCTCGATTCAAAAAAACAAAACAAAAAACGAATGAACAAAAACGTCACAAGACTACCTCATTTCCACAAAGAGTTAATAAACAGCCACTGAATTAATATGCCCTGTCCAGCTAACAGCTGCAGTCAGAGCCCCAAGTTCATAATGCAAATAGACAAATGAATTCGACTAGGGTGCGGTGCACCTGCTCAACTTCCCAACCTGTATGGAGTGCATCCAGGTGCTCCTTGACAAATGACCCCTGGCCTACTAACCCTGGAGCATATGCCTTGGGTTTAGGCTGCAGTGACCTGGGAAATTTCCACCCTTGTGTGCAGATTTCACATTCGCCTGATGAAGGCAGACAGGGGCAGTGCCTTGTGAGTGTGATCCCTGACAGGCAGGGCAGATGTACAAATGGCTGTGAGAGCCTGGCCGACTGAGATCAGGAATGTTGAGGCGTCCCAGCTGGGTGGAAGGAAAAGTAGGGGGCACTGACCTGGAAGATGAGCACTTTGAAATGGTTGCGTCGGAGGAGCTGGGCGTGGTTGTTCTCCAGCCGCTTCACCTGCGCGCACTGCCTGTCCATGCGCTCCTTGACCGCGCGCGTGTGAGCGCTGACCTTGCGGGACTTCTCCAGGAGCTTGCTCACCGTGTTGCTGGTGGAAGCCTGGTACTTGGAGAGCTTGGAGAGGTCGTTCTGGATGCCCTTCACGGAGCCCTCCAGGCTGATCTGCCGCTGTTCCATCTTGTGCTGGTTCTCCTGCACAGCGTCCAGCATGTTCACCAGCTTATCCAGGAGCGTGAGCACCGTGACGGCATTCACCTGCGTGTTGTCCCGGATGGCCTCGTCTGTGCTCCCTAGGTTCAGGCTGGGGCTCGGTGTGGAGGAGGGCTCTGGGCTGGGGCTGACTGGCCTCTCCTGCCGTTTGTCAGAACTCGGGTGCTGGAACTTTTCAGCTTGTACAGCGTCCTCCCCCATGGCTGGACAGGTGGGAACCTTCTTCTTGCCTCCGGTGAGAAGGACGGTGGTGAGGGGTGCAGAGCAAAACCCACTGGTTGGAGCACCGCTCTCTAGGACTGGCAGAGGTTCAGACAGGCAACAACTGGCTACACTGATCTGGGGAACTGCATTCCAGTTGCTCTTAAAAGCCCTACTCCACCCAGTGGGAGGTGAAGGTTACAGAGCTGAGAAACAATCAGGGTTCAGAAGTATGCACACACTTCCTAACTGCGTTCTCCCCAGCACAGGGCACTTTCCTGCAGGTTTAGCTTTTCTTTTCTACTCCTCTTCCCTTTTAAAAATAAGTTCAATGCCCTATTTCAATCATAACTTCATCTGGGGGCGGAGAAAAACATGCTAACTTGGCCCAGCTCCACAGCCTCCCATTGGCTAAAGCTAGTAAACTTTTCTCTGGCTGCTATGTTACAGATGCAACAGAGAATCTGTTTTCTTTCTTTCTTTTCTTTTCCCCCCCCCTGGATACAAGTTATTGTAACGGAAAGTATTGTTTGCATTTGCCCTAGAACTGACTGATGGGCTACAGAACTCCTTGCGTCCTACTGGGAGGGGCCGAGTTTAAAGGGTGCTGGCAGCAAGCTTGTATTTATTAGTTTTTAATTTCTGAAGGAATGGTAGTAACCCTGATAATGACAAAGAAAACAGCCCAGTTCTTATTACCTTTGCAATTGGCGAAGCAAGATTAGTCAAAAGAGACTGAACTTCAGGAATGTTAAGACATGTAAGGCCACGATGGACTGTTACCATGTAATAGAAGGCAAATGTTTGAATGACCACTTTTTTTTTCTTTTTTATATAAAATTTCTTTTGAGAAGTGAAATTGAAAGAGGAACTCTCCCTCCTGCAGTAAATAAAGCCTGGTCTCTTTAAGAACCTACCATGCCTATGTGTTTTAACTAATTTTCAATTCTTACTGAGAGATTGTCTCAAATGCCCATCTCTGCAAGGCATTTATTGACACGTGCCCAGAAGTATGAGTGTCAGGCAGGTTGAGTGGGAGTTTCAGAAGTGCTTCTAATGTTTGACATTTCCAAATTCCTGTTCAGTGAAGTGGCTCACCTGTGCTAAACCATGGCCCTCCTCAGCCAAGCCCTTAGGATGTGGGACTTATTTCCCAAAATGACTTCACATGCTTGAATTTGTTTTGAATGTATTCAGCCCTCGAAAGTGCTTCAGCAGGAAGTTTGTAATAGGCCTTCTATGAACAGTTTTGAGAAGAACAAAAGCCCACTCATTTTGGATCAGGGATTGATAATGGAAAAGTGCTATTCTTCAATGGCAAACTGCACACCTAAGCCAATCAATCATTGGGCCATTGGTTGTCAGATGTATTAAATATTTGAGTTTCTGTTACCTGCTCAGTTCCATGATTTGATGAACTATTCAGAAGATACTAATGTGGCATGATCCAAGCTCCTGCCCTCAGTGAATGTACCTGCTAGTTAGGGAGATGAATTAAAGATATTTACAGAGTCCCCTGATTTCCTCAGATAAATGGTACCCCAAAACGCACTTACAGTGAATATTTCAAAAATAGGGACCGAAAAAAATGAAAAGATTTGGTTGGGACTTTATCTTTAAATAATGTGAGAAAATTATTAAAATTAACTTACCTTAATTTATCAAAATTTAGTTGATCAATGATTTCTTAAATATTAGAACAAAGGATGAACGAAGTGTTGATTTGGGGAAGCACAATTTTGTAACAAAACTATATGGTATCATGATAGATACAGTATCATTTTACATTTGACTTCTGTGGGCAAATCGTAAAGAGGGTCATTACTGCAAAAATATTTGAGGGCCTCATCAGTTCCCCAAGAGCCTCTCTTAAATTTTGACATTCAAATCATTCCCTTTTGAAGCACTTATTGTGCCATCATCTGTGTGGATTTTTTTCTTCTTAAAATGTTAACTGTTCCAGCTGCAGATTCTCATTTGTCAGAGGAGTTTCCCATGATTCAAGGGCTTCTCTAACATTACCTTCATCAGCTTCATGATTTCTTACATATTTTGAAAGATTTGCAATTTCAAATGATAATCACTTTGCCCTGATTTTGCATTGATTTGCACAGATTTTACATTGCATTGTTGGATATTGCATAATCAGTTAGATGAATAGAGACACTAAAGATATGGGGTTGAGGTGGGAAAAGGAGAGAGGCTATATGTTAAAAAGGAAGAAAGGTTTGCAATTGGGCTTATTTATTTATTTATTTCATTTTTTATTTTTTGGGCTTATTTATTTTTAAAAATAAATTTTAAGTAACACAAGTAACATGTCATAACAGTTATCTATTGCTATGCAACAAACCAGCCTCAAATTCAGAGACTGAAATGATAACAATCATGAGCTTTATTTACTCATGGTTGTGTGATGGGCTAGACAGGGCTCAGCTGGGATGGGTCATCTTCACCAGGAATGCTCCTTCAACTGTAATGGAATCCGAGATGGTCTCAGTCACATGCCTGGCTTCTTAGATGCGATGAAGACTAGAATGTGGGATTTCTCTCTCCTTGATCTTTCAGCCTGCAGGGATTCTCCCTCTGAGCTCTCTATCAGGGAAGCCAAACTTCTTTACATGCCTCAGGGTTACCAGGAAGTGGTAGCTGAAGACGCAGGTTCTCTTAAGTCTAGGCTCTGGAACGCTCCCCTTGTCACTTCCATCACATTTTATCAGCCCAAGCAGGTCACAGGCTGAGCTCAGGTTCAAGGGGACAGGTAATAGACTCCTGTATGGAAGGAACAGCTAAGTCCCAAGATAAAGGGTAAGCAGAATGGGACAGATTGTTGTGGCCACCTTTGGAAACAATCTACCTCAACATAAATACACTCTTCTTTCAAAAGACTATTACAGATAAAGCTGAAAGCCCTTTCCATCACCATTTTTATACCATTTCTTTTCACCTCTTGTCAAAAGTAATCATTTTTATGGATTTCAAGTCTAACCTTTGGAAATTATATTTATTAAGTGATCAATTCATTAGTGAATAGTTTCATGCTGTGACATAATTTGCTTTGTTGCACAACTTTACAATCATGGGAATTAGAAGCTATATAATGGAAACCTATCCTGTACAAGACAGCTGTAACCAGGTAATAGACTCTGACACAAATTCTAAGGGCAGCAAGAGTTTATACAAGGGGAAAGCAAAGGCAGTGAAAGAAAGCACCGTTGATGAGTTCGAGTTTGAGGCAGGTAACCCTGAGCAGCCACACTCACCAATTAGTTGACCTAAATGAAGTTCTATTTCTGTCTGAGAGAAATGAGTGAAATTCAGCAATCAACTCTTTTTTTTTTTTTTTTAAGCTGAGCCATCCTGCCACCTGTTGGCAGCTCAGCGGCTGCTCAGCTCAGGCCGGCAATCGAACCGCTGTTGCTCAGAGCTCAAACCCTTAAGCGAGCTCTTAACCAACTGAGCCACTCGGCCGGCCCAACAATCAACTCTTAAAAGAAAGTTTTGAAAAATTAAATCTACTTATTACATACTATCATGTTCCTTAGAAGTTAAGTAGCGGAATTTAGACTTGATATGTGTACAACAGCAGACAGGAAGCTCCTCGAGGTTTTTGAACATGTGAAAGTGGTGTGTTTAAGAAGGATTAGGGCAGCAACAAAATGTAGTAAGGAATCACTCAGTCGGTAATGTTTGCTGAACGGGAAATGAGTGCTGGGCACTGGGGATGCAAAGATGAGTGACGTAGATTTGCTACCCTATAAAAGCTCCCACTTGACTGAACTGAGAACTAGGCAGGTTGACAAATACTGGGTAGAGATTTACATGTGTGGGACTGGAGTTGGGTTACATGACATTAGCCACATCAGTCACAATGGTATGTGTGGGGATCTGAATTCTCAAACTGATCACTAACTGCCTGCTGTCCCCTCGGGTCTCTAAGTCACATAAGCACAGAGGTCGCTCCAAGAAAATGACTACTTTATTACTGGCGAAAGCATCAGTCCCAATCCATTGTGGTTTCCCATTCTGGATCCTTAGGGAACCCCAAGGCTTGGTTAACCCTTTAGCATAATTGCTACACCAGCGGCAGCTCAGCGGCTTCCTTGGTTGGCCTTTTCAATTTAAACCCATGGAAAGTCTGACCTTCTTGGTCTTGCTACTCTTCCCACTGAGAAGTGGACTCTAATTTCCATTTCCTTATATCTGCAATAGCCCTAGTGACTTGCTTGGCCAAATAGAGTGTGCCAGAAGTAACGTGCTTGCACTTCTGAAGCTAGGACATGGGAAAGTTGGTAATTTGCTCCTGGGTTTCTTGGGACACTTACCCTGGAGGAAGCCAGCTCCAGGTTAAAACTCTACTCTGTTGAGACTGCCATGCTGTGAGGAAGCCGAAGAGCCACATGCAGAGGGGATGAGGAGAGAAAAAGACCTGGCGAGCCTCCGTTGTCAGCGGCCTGTAGCCCTTTGAGCACATCCTGTCCCTTTCCCTGCCCATAGCATGCTCCAGTCATTGTGGAGCAGAGGTAAGCCATACTTGCTGTGCCTGCCTAAGACTATAACCCACAAAATTGTATGCATAATAACATGATTTTAGTTTTATGTCACTAAGGTTTGGGGTGGTTTGTTATGCAGTAATAGACAACTATGAACATGTAGTTTGCAATGAAAATGCAGCTCTTTAAGAATTACTATTAATAATCTAGGTTTGTTCCCAGAACGCCTATGTCTTATACTTTTTATATGTACTACTGTCCCAAAACTTAACTCCTAAAATAACATTACAAAAGAAAAGATTTTGTGTATTTATTCTTACCCTAAGAAAAATGTAACTTGGAGCTTGATACCAACGGTGGTGGGATGAGCATAAACTAAGATAAAATGAACTCGGCAGAAAGGAAGGGGAAGTGGAAAGATCCTCTAAACACATCTGGCTTCACTCTACCCTGCATCCTGCAGTGGGTACAGATGGAAGTCAGGGTGCACTTTGTAGAAGGCCTGAAGGTCCTGCCTTTTTCTCATCCTTGGCTGGGGCAATGGAGAGGGATAGTACTCACTTTCACTAGAAATATCAACGATGAAAAGCACATGATTACGTGAGCCTAACCTCTCCCAGCCTAAGTCCCCATGTAACCTATCCATGATGTCAGTGTGAAATGCAGCTGCATAGAAGGAAATCCTATATAAGGGAGCAATGAAGCAAAAATAATGAATAGTGTTGACATTAAAGTAGATGCCACTCCACTCCCCATGTGCTGTCATTTAGGAAATGCCACAACTTTGGGAAATTCTAGAGGAGCCTTCATTCTCAAGACCTCCTCTGCCTCTTGGACTC